GGGAGAAAAATAATGTTTACAAAGAGGAACAGTGTATAATTTTTCCTCTACTTAGAAGACTGTCTTAACAGTGAATATTCATAAATTTGTAGTCGAAGTTTTTCCTAAATGTTTGCCTAATGATGAGTTTTGGGTTAGGGAGTATCAGTATGCTGTTTAGGTACGGGGAAAGAACACCTCATCCCCTTTGCCTAGGGACAACCACTATTGAATATAAACTGTGCTGACTTCATACCCTCACTTCTTAAAGTGATTTGTTTATTTTTAAATTGCTTAGTAGGTGACAACTTGTCATTTTAACAATTGCTATGGAAACAACGTGCTTTCAATTTTTACTTGCTGTAACACCATTTTCAGGAATGTGAAAACAGTAATGAATTCCTTTGAATACAGCAAGGTTTGGTGTTTTTTTTAATAATCTGTCCTAGATTGTTTTTCTCCAAGGCATGACAAACTTCAGCTATAAATAAGCTACTTGAAGTCTCACAGCCCACTCTGGGTTGCTCTTGCTAATGGAAACGCAAGCTGTAAGCAACAGGGCAGCATGAAGAGAAAGTCTAGCTACTACCTGGGATCCTGTGATGTCAGGAAAAAGGCAGCATTGTAGTTCCAGTGCTTGGGACTTTGAACTGGAACTAGGGTAAGGAAGAGAATGGCCACACTTGCCAAGGAGCCATGCATTAAGGACTTCATTTGAGTGGTCTAGGACAGAGAAGGAGCTATTGTCCCACACAGAGCTGTAGCAAGACATTGCTGTGCATGTGGAGCCTTCCTCACAATGCTCACTGAGGTCCTTCCAGTCCCTGCTGTTGCAACAAATCCACAGGGTACACAACAACAACAACAGATTTAAAATTACTCTAATTTGGCACAGCTGTTAGCAACTTAGGGGCATCCAGCCTTTCTACGGTTCTTGTAAGCCATTATCATCAGCTTGCAATGAAGGCACTGCCTCTGGAGTTTGCCAGTTTCGTGATCCTTGTGCCATCATCCACACTGACTGTATCTGGGGAGCAAATTCAATAGGATGTATCATCTCAAGTCCTTAGCGGAGGTTTGGCAGTAGGGCCAGCAGCAGAAGGACGAATGCCTCTATGAACATTTCCTTTTGAATCCTGATGTGTCAGGATTTTATGTGTGCTGGTTTTAGTGGCAATATTTGCTAAGTAGAGAGAATTTCTTCCTCATAATTTTGAATTTATCTTTAATTGAATAGTCCCTTGTTGTTAGGAGTCAGACAGAAAGGGCATTGCTGAGCTGTTATTGATGCATTATTGGTTATTTTATTATAGCTCCTCTTATATGTCTTTTTCCTCAAGTAATCCATCCCGGTAGCTTCTGACTTTCTCCATAGGAGAACATTTCTATCCCCTTGATCATTCTTGCTGCCCGACTATGAATCTTGTTTCATAATCATGTATTATCCATCAACACATTCTGCCTGAGGATGTCTGCTAAGCTGTTAGACATCTGATAAATTACATGCTAAATCTAGGTACTTCCAGAAAGACATTCCTATCTGTCTTTCTGTCTCAGAGTCTCTTGATAGGTTATTAAAAGAAAGTCTTTTCTACTTGAATCCTCCTAGCTGATAGAAGAAGTGTCTGTTTCTACTTTTCTTTTTTAAATTAGGTGAGGCAGATCACTCTCTAACTGCCTTGTTCTTGTTTACCATGCTCTCAGTTCCTGCCAGCCACAGGTATTATTGCCAGTAACTTTTAAAATAAATTTTCATCTCCAGTATTGATGCAAATACTGAATAGCAACAGGTCTTGAATTGATCCCTGCAGAAATCCAGTGGAAGCATCTCATTTGCTCATAATCCCCAATTGACTCAGCAATCTGTCAGCATATTCTGAATTTAATTACCCTGCGCTTTATTGTTTATATTACTAACTTCTAAAAAATCAAAATTGCATGTGGTAATAAGCCTCTCATGGCATCTTGCAGTACTTCTTAAGAATTTTGTATAATAAATGAGAACCCTCTTTGGCAAATTTTAGTTTTTTGGGCTCTGAAATTAATTTGCGCTGTCTCAGATTTGTTTTGCTTACGTCAGTTTTTGTTTATGCATTTGTTAAACTGTGAACAGCTGCCAAGGCACCGGGGAAGTTTTTCTGCAGAATCAGTAAGAACATTTTACAGCTGGGCCAGATTGTTTTTTTCCTAAATGAATATTTTCCTAAATGAATATTTTAAGTGTCACCTTATTCTTCGGGTATTATTTCCTATCAACTGTCAAGGGAACTTTCTATTCCTTTCCTTACACTGTTTGTGTTCTATTTGTTCTTCTCCTAGATCTGAGAATGGTACTTCTCCAAACCAAAGCTGTTGTAGCTTACCTGTGACATATAAATATCAACCTGTCAGAGCCCTGCATGCCTACCCACACACTCTTGAAGGTTTAGCTGCTTGTGTTGAAGATATTCTAAGGCTCGGGCTCAGGCTCAGGCTCAGGCTTGCTGGAGGTGTGAGGCACAGGCATGGCTGCGATGTAGCTCGGGCAGGGACCAAGGGTGAGGGCCTGAGCGTAAATCACCTCCCGAGCAAGGGGAGGCTCCTTTCGGCTCTTCTCACAACTCTGCTGTTTTCCCAGTGGTCTGATCCAAGGTTACACAGCTGCACCATGGCAAACCTGGCCTTGAGCATCAGCAGCCAAGCCCCTAGGTGGGAGTGGGTGTGCTCAGGGCCAGACACAGCCCTTTTTTAGGCTCTGGACATTTCCATTTGGTTAAAAATAACAGCCTATGTTAACCCCCAGCCTATATTATTACTGGCAGACTAACCAATTTCAGATTGCTCCACAGTTAGGTTTGTTGCTGTCCAAGATGATTACAAATGGTGGTAGTTCAGTTACGTAATTAATTAATGAGAAGTTTATGGAAATACAGAATTTTTCAGTCTAAGGCCATTTGTTTAAGTGTTAGTGATGTGGGCTTGAACTCCTAACCAGATGTTTGCAGATCTGCAGGTGTAGTGAACATTATAGAGAGATGACATGAACTTGAACAAATAGGTTCATGAACAAATATTGTTGAACACTTGGATGAATACATGAAAGTTGCGATGAAGAAGTATGCAAGGAGGATGCTTAAAGACAGTCTGGTGAAAGGTTTTTCTTTGGGAACTGTGCATTATATGACAGAAAAAAGGACATAACTCACTTTTTGGGCAAGCAAATAGCATTCTTCTGCATTTCTTTTTGGTAATTTAGGATAGGCTATTAGCAAAAAGAGAGTTTTTGGCATTGGTGATACTATTCCCTGCTACTTTGGCTGGGGAGTGTTTCTTTTGTTTATTTTCTCTCCATTTGCTTCTCACCGCCTCTCCATCCTTTAAAAAAAAAGGCTTTTCAATTGTGCATTCTGTTTTGTCTTGGTTTTTTTTCCTTTTATGGTGATCCTCTGCTGCAGCACTCCTCTCACCAGCAGTATCTTGTCGTAGGGCTGCAAAGCCAATGGTACGTATCCGACCTCAGGCGTCCTGCATTCTTTAAATCTGCCAAATGGTTCATCAGTGCTCTTGCCAGTGTTCAGGCACAGCTGGATGCAGAGCAAGCGTGGGGAAGACTGCAGTGGGGAGGGCAGGTGGGAAAGAGGGAAAGGGATGAATTCCTATGAGCTTGCATCACAGCCAGCATGCTGCTTTATTTGTTGGGACAGGGCAACTAACTTGATTAGTGTGTGTTTTTATAAAGACATTTACTGTGTTACTAGTGCCTCATTATCAGAATAAAAATAGTGGATTTAGTAAATTCTTCAAGGTATTCAAATACCTGCGTTCCTTTTGCATCTTGGTAAAATAAAAAGTATTAATTAGAGTTTCATATGCTGGTTTTTTTCCACTGGACCTATTAATCTGTCTATTCCAAATTTGCATTTACACAAGGATGGTGAAGGTATGAATTTGTCTTGCGACTGGTAGACTGCTGTAAAGATGGTAACATTTCAGTAGTGAAACTTTCTCTGTGTTTGTGGCTTCTTGTGTAAAGCATTGACAAAGCTGTGTTCGCAGTATCAAAAGTGTATGTCTCTTCTAACTTGTGTGCTCTGTGAAAGTTAGTCTTCCAAGAGTGGCCTTTCTAGTGAAAAGTTTATGGCAATACCTGTAGAGCTAAAGCTCATTCTACATTAACATAATCTTCATAATTTCAGAATATGTATAGAGTAGTTCATGCACTGCAGTAATTACACACAGTAAGATTGTGATGATATGATCCTGTGCCGACTGCTTTTCTTATTTGCAGCACCACAGAAAAGTATTTTTGATTATTTTTTGTTATTATCACTTAACGTTGGGCAATTTGTCACATCTGATTACTTTTGTTTATAAATCTCCTAACTATGCCCCCTAGCTCAAGACAATGTTTAGTCTAAAAAAAAAACCAACCACAAACCAGACCACAGTCTGGTAGCACACTAAACCAGAAAAGGGGTCTTTGGCTTCTCTCCAGTCTTCACGTGGGGTAGCAGCACAAAGGTGCCAAGAGGCCAGCTGTAAGTAGCTAAGTGGGAATTTTTCCAGAATTGGGAGGAAATTACTGGGTAGGAAAAAGCTGGCATTATGTGCCATAGGCCTGTGCATGGGGGATGTAGCTGCAGTGCTGCTGTGTCCAAAGACTCCTAGTTCAGTGGGACTCTGGGTGTTTTACAGGCTGCTTCGCAATGAGGGTAGAAGTAGACATGACTCCCTCTGCTGCCAGCGTAATAACAGCTCTTCGTGGCTGTCTTTTCATTCACGTGTCCATTTGTCCTATTCTTCTAAGTAGCAGCTAGTATGTGCTGTGTTCATGTGAGAGAGTGTGCCCAAAGCTTGTGAATTTAATTCTACAAGTGAATACACTCACAGTATTATTATTTTTAACAAAGCCTTCTGTAAAGTCTTACTTGAAATTACTTCTGTTGCTGTGCTACCGCTACTGTTACATGCTCAAGCCTTGAACTGTCAAGGAATTATGAAGTATTTTTATCCTGTGACATTTTAAATTATTCTCTCCATAGGGGAAGCCCGTGGGAACGCCAGATGCTGGTGCCTATTTCCGTGTGCTAGCAGAGCATGAAGTAGCTGCCTTCTTTACTTCACCAACTGCAATTAGAGCAATCCGTCAGCAGGACCCTGAGGCAGCCTTGGGAAAGCAGTACTCTCTGAAAAGGTGAACTAAGGATACACTGGAAGCAGTTTCTTGCAGGAACAGGCTGGAGGAACTAAGAATAGCAGAGTGTCTGGGGCTTTGCCCACCTCTGTATAGCAGAATTCAAATGTATCATTGACAATTTAGGGGTACACGTATTTGTGTATGTAAATTTATATTAATAGTTTGGAGGAGATGAAAACTTAAAAAGATTACGACTCTAGGGTTAAGAGCTCTTGCTGAGTTAGGGTTACTCGCTCAACCTTAATTTTATGCCACTGTGCTTATACTCTGTAATACAGTCTTGGATTACACGATCCTGTACTGTTTTCCCACATGACCTCTCATTTCACTGAGTGCACAGGATCTTTAGTGTTCGTTTAATCAGCAGCTAGTCAATGTTTTGTTTATCTCCCCATAACTTAGTTACTGCTTATGGTTATGTGCTCCAAAGACTGAGCTATTTGCTATCTCATACTGTTTTTAAGGTGTTTATCACTATACTAGCAGCATGCTTCAAAATCATGACTGAGTTCATCCTCACAAATCCCCTATGAGATGAGAGAGTGGTATTATCTGTATTTTGCAGATGGGAAGCTGAGGTGCAGAGAGATTAGGGTCAAAGTCTTCTATTAGTTTTGGATATCCAGTCTGAGCCACTGAACTACCACTATTTCAGAGTTCTTAGCATTATGTGGTTAAAATGTGTTATTAGCATTATATTAATAAAATGCCTCTCACACTGACTTGCATCTGTGAGTGTTTAGTACTTCTACAGACCAAGTTTCTGTATCTTATGGCAAACAGTCTAAAAATGGAAAATATGTGGGTTTGGACCACATCGAATCTTGAAGTTGAATAATTTGCTCAGCATCAAACAAAGACTGTCAGACTGTATAGGTAGTATTCAGTCATAAGACATCTTTTATCACACTTGTCCAAAGAGAAGGGGAAGATGCAAAGCCATGTACCTTCATTAGACCTCCATGTTCTTAATTGCTCAGGAAAGTTTTATTTATTAGTAGGCTGGATTTATTCCTGAGGCATTAATTCCAAGTTCATTATTTTCTTCCATCTGTTTTGAGTGCTATCCTCCATCCTTACCCTTCCTTGAAATAGGAAGCAAGCTCATTTGAGACCCTAAAGCACTATTCTTCTATGATGTTTATTGACAAGAAAGTGATTCAGATGCTAGAAAATTTAATTGCTGTTCCTCAGCATTTTTTAGGCAATGACTAAAATGACTTAGTCTGTCTTTAGAGTGTTCATTTAATGGAAAATCTGCTAACCTGCTCTGTAAGTTGTCACATTTTCTGGCCAAATGAGAATTCCAGGTAAGAGTCTCCTTGCTGATTTTGGTTGCCCCAGATGTAAAGAGATATTTCATCATTCCTATACAGTGCATAGTTAATGAGCTTCTCCATTTGTGTGCAAATTTAGTTGTCTCATAATTCACTTGACTTTGGGCCGTGTCATTCCCTGGTATGTGACTTCTCTTTACTAAACCCTCTAGTACAGCATTTAATATCTAGTATTCTCTTGGATTGTCTTAAGTCAGTACTATACAAAATCCAAAGTCTTTTTTACCCACAGGTGAAAAAGACTTTGGATTTTGTATAGTACTGACTTAAATCCAGTATCTGTTCTCCAACCACCAGTATAGTGCAGTAAGTTTGACAGTCTTCAGCATGCCTCTCTTCTCATGTTAGACTAGGATTATTTTACTGTTAGGTCTAGTCATGACCCTCTACCTATTTGGCTATGTGCGATACTGTGGCATATATCACTGAATTTGGAAGGGTGCTTAAATTAGACTGTCTATCCTATGATGACTTCAATATTAACATCCAGCTACTTATAGTGTATGTCCATTTTATGAGTTAAGGTGCAGTTGTTAAGAAATGGAGTCCAACAGGTGATTAAAATTTCCCTTCTAGGAAAATGCTTGCTTTTGGGTGTTAACTTGGATGGACTTTTCCATCCAAGGTCAAGCGAATTCTGTCTGTTTCAGTTTGAAATCGGTCTTACTTTTAGTTCATTTACCTGATCTATGATGCTTTCTTCTCTGTTATATGGTGCAGAATCTTTGAAATGAGAAGTCTTTATGCCACCTGGGCTAAGATGTATCCTTACTTACTCTAGAGACTCCAAAACACATGTCCAGGAATGCAGTCCTGAAAGAGGTTTCCACATGGTACATTTCATTCCTGAAAACTTCTATTAAAAAACTGGTAAAGATCAATGTCACTTTTAAAAAATCCTGTTAAAAAAGACAATTACTGGTAAGGTACAGAGTTGGTGGGCAATGCCAGCTTCCAGTATACAAGGGAATATTTGGTTTACAGGAGTAAATTGAATTATAAGCAGACTTGCGTTCTTTTGAAATTACATAAGTTAAATAAATTTCTGTTAAGAACTGATGTTGGTGGCATCACTGGCCTCTGCACAAAATTATATGTGAGGTTTCCAAAGGTTCTAGTGTGCATGCCTCAAATTCCTTGTTGGCTCTTGGAGTCAAATCTTGAAATTTGTTTGCCTTTGACACAAAATGTCACCTATGTCTTAAACGCGGCCCATGCTTAACAGTAAAAGAGATGTTAAATTTGTAATACTGTAGGATAAAAGCCCTGTTCAACCACATATTGCTAGAGGATCTAAAGACCTGGCTTTTGATAACACACAGTGCTGCTAAGCAGGCTGTCTGATCATATTGTTGCCTGTTGTATTTGAAAAACAAGTAACATCCAAATTCTACAACCCTCATGTACCTGAGCATATTCTGTTCAGCTTTTGGAATCTGTTCTCATCTTCACGAGGTAGCTCCCTAACACCGAGCCATTAACTCTTCCCATATTTGGAATCACACTTCATCCTTTAATTGACTTAATTGTTATGAACTGGTTAGGTCTGATTTCCAAATGATTGACAACTGGCAGTTTTGCATGAAATGGGGCAACAACTCAGCAGATTAGATTAACATACAAGTAATAATTTGCAGTTTGTGTCCCGTAGCCTGCTTGGCTTTCTTGACTTTAGGTCAATTGTGAATGTTCTGCCATTTTATATCAAGAGAATCTAGAGATTTTAGTTTGTTCATCTGATACCAGATATTAATGCACTTGCTTTAGAAAGAAATATGAGACTGCATAAAAACTGTGCAGAAATAATTAATATAAAGTAGATTACTGTCCTGGTTTCGGCAGGGATAGAGTTAATTTCCTTCCTAGTAGCTGGTACAGTGCTGTGGTTTGGATTTAGGGTGAGAACAATGTTGATAACACACCGATGTTTTAGTTGTTGCTAGGTAGTGTTTACACTAGCCAAGGACTTTTCAGCTTCCCATGCTCTACCGACTGAGAAGGCTGGAGGTGCACAAGAAGCTGGGAGGGGGCACAGCCAGGACAGCTGACCCAAACTGGCCAAAGGGACATTCCATACCATGTGACGTCATGCTCAGTATATAAAGCTGGGGGAAGAAGAAGGAAGGGGGGGACGTTTGGAGTGATGGCGTTTGTCTTCCCAAGTAACCGTTACGCGTGATGGAGCCCTGCTTTCCTGGAGATGGCTGAACACCTGCCTGCCGGTGGGAAGTAGTGAATGAATTCCTTGTTTTGCTTTGCTTGCATGCGCGGCTTTTGCTTTACCTATTAAACTGTCTTTATCTCAACCCATGAGTTTTTCTCACTTTTACCCTTCCGATTCTCTCCCCCATCCCACCGGGGGGGAGTGAGTGAGCAAGCAGCTGCGTGGTGCTCAGTTGTCGACTGAGATTAAACCATGACAATTAGGAACTCCCATTTTCTGTCTCGTAACACAGGAACAGGAGGATGTGAAATTAGAGTAGCAAATTCAAAACGGTTAGAACGAAACACTTTCTCATGTAATTGATGTCTCACACATGCTGCTAGAGGATATGTGATTAAGACCCAGAATTTAGGACAATTGAAGTACATTATGCAGTTCTGCCTGCTACCCCCTACTCTGCGCTGCTGTAGATCATGTATGGCCATTCCTGTTACGAGTCCTGAGCTGTATTCATGAAGAGCCTTTGTGGAGTTCCCCTTCACCCACACTGTGAGAAGGAGCTGAGCTGCAGTTATGTTCTGTGTCTCTCTTGACTCTGTCAACCAAACCTCCAGTGCCTGGATTCTTGTGACGGAGGTAAAATCTATTCAGGGAGGAAAATGAACAAACATGTCAATGGAGAAAAATCAGAAGACCTGAAAATATTATTTATTTATTTTACATGTTTAAGTGTCTGCAGTCTCCAGGTGCATTAAGAATTAGTAAGAGTTCTTTATTTCCAGTTTATGTTAAGAAGTGCAAATGAACCTTCCTCGCTATCTTTTCAGGAAAAAAAAAAGCTTATTTAACGTGATGCAGGTAGAGTTTTTCTTCGCCAGAAAAACTTGTGTATGCATTCCAGAATTAAACACATTTCTGTGATCTTTTAATTTGGAAAAGTGCAGCTCAGATTATTACCCATGTGAACACTCCTGCTTTTGGGAAATGGTTTGGGGATGTGGTTTCTTTTGTGCTTGGAGTAACAGCAAAATGTACGTGCTGTTTTGAACAATTTAGATTGTGTCAGGGCCATTAGGGACCGTGATCTGTCCCCTGTATCAGGTGATACTTCAAGTCCATTCTGCTGGACTCTTGAATAGGGCCTAAAAGCTTGATTGCACTGAATTTTATGTTCAGAATGTAGGTTTTCAGAACAACAGCTTGGGACATATTTATTTAACAGAGAGGTTTTAAGATTTTTCTTCCCCATTAACTGCATTGCAGTGATAGATGATTGCAGTAACAGGTGCATTGACATACTTTGAAGTTTTAAGTGGACTGTTAAAAATTGTTCAGAGTGGGACATTTTATAACCATTGCCATCTCTCTCTTACTATACCATTTGATAGGAGAAAATAATTCCACAGTTCTTAGGCTTTGTTAAGCTTGTGGCACTTCGCTCTTGTGTGCTTTTTGATGGTTTTGTGCTGTAAATTTGCCAAAGAGCTGATCCCTCTCCTTCTCGCAACATAAGGTTGCTCTTGAGCCTGCAGATTATTAAATCTGATTATTAAAGCTGGCAATTGAGAAGAGAGGAATTCCGGTTTTGGCTCAGGGGATAACATGATGTCTCAACTTTTTCGTCAAGTCTTTTAAGTTCTTGGTGTTTTAATAGCCCTGTTTTTAAAACAAGGACACTTAACAGAATTTTTCAGCAGTTTATAAAGTTAATGAATTCATAAATTGGATTTTTACATCATATGTAAATGATGTGTTTAACAAGCCTAATTACAGAACATTCCATATAATGTAAATTGAGCAGTGCTTAACAGGAGTGCCCTGCATGTAAACATGAGTCTTAAAAAACTTTTAATAAAATACATATTTGTGCTTTTTAATTACACAATATTTTGATCTCTTCTATCATAAACTTTTTATCTATGTTATAACTGCTGGTTAGCTATTAACTGTAGTTACCAGCACTGGCTTGTGCTTTACAATAAAAATCATTCAAGTGCAAGCTATTGATTGGGGTCACACTCATTATAATCATTATCTTAAATTGTGGGAGATGTGCTCAGAAAGCAGTTTACCAAAATGATGTTGTATATTTATGAGTACAGAAAACTATGCTAATTTGATGTGCAAGCTGCTTATACATTTGACCCCCTGCCTTCTATTCCAAGAAAGAACTCACTCCAACCCATCTTGGGGTGTTAGAAAGGAGGGTTGGCTGAAACGCTGTTCTGAACTTAAGCAAGTTGAATTCTTTTGTCTGCATGTTCAAGTTCAACATGGTAACATTTTTCAAGATCTTCTGGTGTTCATAAGTTTGTAATTAGATGTGCTGTAAGTTGATTTTCATATATCAAAGTTATTATTATGGCTACCTCTATGATTGTTACTTCTGCTTAGTTCACAGATAAGACTGTTCTCAGTGTGTTATATTTAACTGGTGCAGGGTCCCTACCTTGGTGATTAGAGTTCCCAATAACTTTTGCTTGTGGAAGTTTCTTTTCATGTAGTCTAACTATGGATCTGTAAATGGGTCTAAAAGACAAAAAACTCATCACTAGGCCCAAATGTCACTGTGAAAAAAACAATTTTCAATTTTAGGGCACATGGCTTATTGCACTGAATGACGTTTCATTCCATGTTTTACTTACGTTGTTTCCAGATGTAGCTTTACCCTGTATATTCTCCTGCCCTGCATCTGCACAGCAAGCAGGTCACTAGTTCGTACACTGTGAGAGGCTGCCTTTTATGCTAGCAGGATGTGCCTATCTGGAGAGGAATGGGGCGTGAATATTTAAAGCATGCTTTTTGGCTTAGGCAGCCTTGCTATGGGAAGTCAGTGGTCTCTAGATAAGAAGCCTTTGCTATTGAGAGGTCAACCTCTAGGTTCCTAGAGATGACAAAATTGATCTGGCTGTGGTAGAGCGTGCTGCAATCCTAACAAGGGGACATTTTGGAGAAGTATTTTTAATCCCAGGGTGTGTTGTTGGGCCACATGAAGCTCCATTCGTATCTTAATGAGGCATTCTGTCATCTCAGAAGCCTTGAGGATTGATGCAGTACTTGGTAGAGTGTCTCTGTAGTTTCTGTTAGCGTGACAGGCTGTTCATGAAATGTTTAGTCACTTGTAGTGTGAGTATACCTGTGCGCTTCACTCAAAGAATGAAAGAGTTTATTTGTTGGTAAACAGAGTTGTTCTGATGTGGAATCTGAATATATGTTTCCTTCTTACCTTTCCTCTCTTCCCTCAACCCTTTGAGGTTTTAAATTGCATCTCTGGGTAAAATGAAAATGCTGTCTTTGTTGGTCATACGCCGAGTAAGGAGGATTTGGGAGAGGGAAGGCATGAGCCCACCCTGTGCGGATACTACAGAAGGGAAGCAAGTTCTTTGGTCTGTAGCAATAGGGCATGTGTGCGTGGCAGCTCCGCATTCAGAATTCACATTATTCCTCATGACAGGATTGCACCTGGTGGTTACAAAGAGGCATTAATGTGGCTGAAGTGTTTCAGATTGCCACACCAGCCTTCTGGGGAAGGAGGTGCAGTTTTCTGTTGTGATTTATCTGTAAAACAGAAATGCTATGTCTTAAATTTCCCCCTGGTTTAGATTTTATTTCCCAAATAGATTATTTCTGTTTCAAAATCTTGCTTAAATAGGAACATGTTTAAGTGCACAGCAAAATAAGAATGTCCAAAATGTCAAGGATTCCCGATTTCCTTTTTCTGAGATGCAGGAACATATCTTCCTAGTTATAATACAGTAATCGAATAGCTGTATCTATCACTATCTTTTTAAACAGTGACTTAACAAAGTCTCCATACTGTAGCTTAGTCATGTGTTAGTTAGTGTTGCTCTAGGGCCTTGGATTTTTTTTCTTTTCATTTTGGTTTTGTTACGTAAAAAATAAACCTTACCCTTTTGAGTCTCTTCAAGGTAAATTACTCTCTAAAGTTGCCTCTTGTTCTTTGTGGACCAGAGAAGAAGCCTAGAGAACTAGTTCAGCATAGACATATTTTTTTTATAATAAGAGCCAAGTAAGATAAATACCATGCATTGCTCTCAATAGAAACCATGCTGTCACAACACAGACTAATGATAAAGTATTGAATATAAATCAGCGGTTCATCTGAGTATAGTTGGCCGTTCATTTTCATCTGTTCATCATAAATCTGAATTCAAAGTTCTCTGTTTCTACCTGAAGAGGATTGCTTATTTGTTTATTGGAGGTGTGAGGCAAGACTGTAAATGATTCTTCTCTTCAGTATCTTCTTATTAGGTGACATTGTCTGTCCAGTGTCATGAGCATCCATGAGTTTATATGCAATTTAACAGGGCTTTAAGTTGCTTGTTAGGAAATAAGTGCAAAAATCTGCTATGACATGAATAAAGCTACTGTGCAAGTGTTAGAAAGATAACACCTTAGCAGCATGCGGTCATGTATGGTAATGTCTAGCTTCTGAGTACTGATAGTCATATTTAAGAAAGCTACCATTGACATAGACGTTCTTATAATTTTAAACAGGGTGTGAAGTGAATTTGTAATGCTTAATGAAGGACAATAAAGTGTGGCTAAACATCCGATAAAATATTATGAAGTTAAAGACTGTATGGGTTTAATACCCAGTTATATAGCACTAGCTAATTTAATGGTACAACCATGCAAATCACATCTGTCAAACTGCCAGGTGTTGCATCTCTTCTCTGCCAAAGTTGGCTACAGCATGTCCAGTAAAATGAGCTGAATTCTAGTACTGTGATCAGGCACCCAGCGCTGCTGAATGTTGTTCTGTGATTGGCATTATTTAGTAGGATTACTTTTTTTTAATGTACATATAGCCAGCCTCTGCACAGGAAAATGGCTTTAGGTCCCATTGTTTCCCCCAAAACTCATTTCCAAAGGCATATAAAAAGATAACAGCTCAAAAAATACTAAAATTTTTTAAATGGAACATTATTAACAACTTAAAGCTAAGAGTTATGCTACAGGTATTTCCTTTTAGTTCTCGTTTATTTCTTTACTAATTTTTCCGGTATTTCTTTCCGACCCTTTTTTGGTATTTCATTCTTATGTTTTGCCTAACAGATATCTACCTAGTTCCTGTGTACAGAGCATTTAATTATTTTTTACTTCCACTGACAGTTGCTCACCACTGGTCTACCAGGTTCTTTGCATTCTGAAAATAAAGCTTCTTTTACGTGATATTTTAAGTAGCATAAATGAATATTGCTAAGATTCAAATTTTTACTCAGTAGGATGGAGCATAAAAGGAGTAAGAGTTCTTCCTCCCCTTTTCTTTTATCTCATCCGGGAAACCAACCACAGATGTTTATTGAATTTGTTTTCTTGTTTTCCTTTCCCCATCCACATCAAGATACATACTTTTTATTTTTATTTAAAGGTTCAGAACATTATTTGTAGCTGGTGAGCACTGTGATGTGGACACGCTAGAATGGTCAAAAAAGGTCTTCAAGGTACCTGTCTTGGACCACTGGTGGCAAACTGGTGAGTGTTTTAAAATACCATTTGTAAAATATGGTGAGGAGATGTTTTCAGACTTGTTTCCTGAGTCTGCAGGTAGAACTGGTTTCTCTTTCCATGAACATTTAAATAGGCAGGACCAAGTGTGAAAATAAAAATTCAAGCAGGAAGAATGTTTTTGGAAGTGGTCTGAAAAGTGACTTCAGGATATATTTAAAACACAGCATTTTTAAAAGCTATATATAAAAAAAAGATATTTTTTGATCCTGTGTTAAAAAAAAAAAAAAGAAAAAAGTTTGCATCAGTATTTTTTACAGGTGTATTTTTATATTGTTTGCATGTGTGACTATTTTGTGACAGAAAATTTGGTATTTAGGGAAGCTGTCAGATTTAAGTTTTTTTTTGCACATATATTTTGTGTAATTAAAAACAATCCGCAGCACAGAGTAGACTCTTTGGTCTTTAATATTGTTCTTGTATGGATCTCATCCAACTTCTATTGATTATTTTGGAATGTCTCCCATTTATTTCACTGGAGGAGGATTAGATACTTAGACTGCAATGAAGGAATCAGAGTACCAATCTATGTGTAACTTTGCAAAATCCCAGTTGAATTCTGGATTAAGGCTTGATCAAACGTATCTCCTTATAACTATGGATTAATATATTTTTAAATTTCACTATTACAAGAGTAATACAGATTCGGATTTTGCTTCTTACATGCATTATTGCTATTTAAGCTAAGGAAGTGTATTACAAAAGCTCCCTCCTCCCCTCCCTCTTTTTCTCCCTTCCAAGAATACCTGTTCTATTTTCTGTGTGTCATTGTTTTGAGATGCAGCTTTTCTCAGGTCTCTCTCTATATGGAGAAAAACATTTTGATTCCCCCATGATGGGTCAGATAGGAGATATATAAGATTAGAATAAAAGGTGGAAAACTCTTTAGTTCATCTATAATATATGTTATGTAATGAAATCAGTTGAGGAGATTTGAACTGCATCATTTTTATTAACCCCCTCTAATCTTAAATAAATACTGAGAAAGTACTGGAAGATAGTAGTGTCATTTTTTATCTAATCTTGATTTAATCTGCTAATTAATTGATAAATATGAGGGACGACATATTTTGCTCACTTCTCTATGATCCTAATATCTGTAAGCAAGAACAGGCCTCAGTGATGCAGAATGAGCAATTAACTGAAAAAGATTAAAAGATCAAATAATGGCTTTGACTACCTACAGAACTGACAGTAAGCAATATTACTGTATGTAATTTTGCATGTGTTTTTATCTGTCTATGTCTGTGCACATACATATACAATTGCCTATAGCTTTGACGTATATTTAGTGCAAAGGTTTAATGTTACTGTGTTCATGCAGATGTCTCTCGGGTATCGATGAGAGATCTTGAACAAGCATGTGGACGTAATTGTGCTCATAGTGTGTAGAGAAGACCATGAGCCCAGCTCAGAGTATAGTATGTCTCTTGATTGTTACATTCACGGGGAGCTCTTAAATTAAATTGTAGCACGACTTAATGAGCTAAGGTCATTTCAAATACAGTGTTTGAGAGCATTTAATAATTTGATTAGAATGAAGACCCATTTTTATTTCCAAGTGATTTCTGTAGAAATGTGTGCTGTTGAATGTAAGCAAGGCATTCAGTCTGAAGGAAAAAATTTACTAAGTCAGAGTTCCTATCAGAGAACTGAATTTCAAGGGATAAGGAGAAAGAAGGAAGGAGGAATCACAGAATCATTGGGGTTGATGAGGACCTCTTGAGGTCATCTAGTTCAACCCCCCTGCTCAAGCAGGGTCACCTAGAGAGAGTTGCCTAGGATGCTCTCCATTTTTGAATACCTATATGGATGGGGATTCCACAACCTCTCTGGGCAGCATGTGCCTGTGTTTGACCGCCCTGACAGTAAAAACATTTTTTTCTTGTGCTCAGCTAGAATTTCCTGTGTTTTAGTATGTGCCTATTGCCTCTTCTCCTGTTGGTGGGCACCACTGAGAAGTCTGTCTGCCTCTTCCTCATTCCCTCCCATCCAGTATTTATACACATTGATAAGATCTCCCCTGAGCCTTCTCCAGACTGAACAGTCCTAGCTCTCTCAGCGTCTCTCCATATAAAAGATGTCCCTTTTCCTGGCTGTTCACTGGATTGTCTCCAGTAGCTCCATCTCTTGTGCTGGGGAACCCAGAACTGGCCCCTCCAGACATGGCCCCACCAGTGCTGAGTAGAGAGGAAGGATCATCTCCCTCAACCTGCTGACAACATTCTTCCTTTTGCAGCCCAGGATGCTGTTGGCCGCCTTTGCTGCGAGGATGCATTGCTACCTCATGGTCATCTTGCTGTCCACCAGCATCCTAAGATCGTTCTCTGCAGATCCTTCTCTTTCCAGCTGGCTGGTTCCCAGTGTGCAGTGTTGCCTGGGGTTATTCCTCCCCACATGCTGGACTTTGCACTTCCCTTTGTTGGACTTGTTCCTGTTGACCTATTTCTCCAGCCTGTTGAGATACCTCTGAAAGGCAGCACACCCATCTGATATATCAGCTGCTCCTCCTAGTTTTACATCATCTGCAAACTTGCTGAGGGCACACTGTTTCCCATTGGCCAGGTAATTAATGAAAAAATTGAATAGTATTGGCCTCACTATCAACCTGTGGGGTACACCACTAGTGATTTGCCGCCAATGGGACTTTGTGCCACTGGTCACAACCCTCAGGGCCTGGCTGTTCAGACAGTTCTCAGTCTACCTCGCTGTCCACTTATCTAACCCATACTTTGTCAGCTTATCTATGAGAATGTTATAGGAGGCAGTGTCAAAAACTTTACTAAGGTGGAGGTAAACAACATCCACTGCTCTCCCTTCATCCACAAAGCTAATCACCTCATTGTAGAAGGCAATCAAGTTGATTAAGCATGATTTCCCTTTCATAAATCCATGCTGGCTACTCCTGGTCACCTTCTTGTCCTTTGTGTGTTTGGAAATCTTTCCAGCATTGGTTGCTTCATCACCTTCCCAGGAACTGAGGTGAGGCTGACCAGCCTGTAGTTCCCTGGATCTTCCTTCTTGCCTTTCTTGAAGAGAGGACTGCCATTTGCTCTCTTCCAGTCTTCAAGAACCTCTCCCAGTCTCCATGACCCTTGTAAGGTAATTGACAGTGGCATTGCAATGACATCAGCCAGCTCCCTCAGCACTCATGGGTGCAACTCATGAGGCCCCATGGACTTGTGTATGTCCAGTTTGTTTAAGTGCTACCTAACTTGGTCCTCTTCCACCAAGTGTAAGTCTTACTTGCTCCAGACTCCCTCTGGTCTCAGGGGTCTGGGAATCCTGAAAGTGAGTCTTACCTGTAAAGACTGAGGTGAAGAAAGCATTCAGTACCTCCACCTTTTCTGTGACCTTTGCCACTAGATCCCCTGTCCTGTTCAGCAGTGGGCTCATGTTTTCCCTACTCTTCCTTTTGCTGTTTATGTACTTGTAGAATCCTTTCTTGTTGCCCTTTATGTCCTTTGCCAGATTCCATTTCAGGTGAGTCTTGGCTTTCCTAACCTCATCCCTGCACAACTGGATGGCATCTTTATACTCCTTCTGGGTCATCTGCCCTTACTTCCACCTCTTGTACACTTCCTTTCTATGTCTGAGTTCAGTCAGGAGCTCCTTGCTCATCCGTTCAGGCCTTCTGCCTTTGATTTTCTACTTGTCAGGATGGACTTCTCTTGAGCTTGGGGGAAGTGATCCTTGAATATCAACCAGCTCTCCTGGAACTCTCTTCTCTCTGTATCCCATGGGATTCTTCTAAGCAGATATCTGAAGAGATTAAAGTCTGCTGTCCTGAAATCCAGGGCTGTGGTCTTGCTTTTGCCTTGCTTCCTCTTTTCAGAATCCTTAACTCCACCGTCTCATGGTCACTGCAGCCAAGGCTGCTCCTGACCATTTTTTCCTTATTTGTAAGTATGACGTCCAGCAGAGTACCTTTTCTTATTGCCTCCTTGATCATCTCTGTCAGGAAGTTGTCATCAATGCACTGCATAAATCTGGATTGCTTGTGCTCTGCTGGGTTGTCCTTCCAGGAGATATCAGAGTGGTTAAAGTCCCCCATCAGGACGAGTGCCTGTGAATGTGAGACTTCTTCCATTTGTTTGAAGAAGGCCTCATCTACAGGCCTCATCCTGATCAGGAGGTCTCCAGCAGACACTCACTACAACAGCATGAATGTTGGTCTGCCTGCTGGTCTTCACCCATAAGTTCTCAACTGGCTCCTGACCTGACCTCTGACAAGGCAGAGCCCCTCTCATGTAAAGTGCAACACCCCTTCCTTGCCTCCCATAGGAAAAAGTTCTTAATAGAATACAAGCTAATAAAGTAGATTTGTATAACTTTTAAAATAGAGAATGGTCAGGTCTGGTAAGTGAGACGAAACAGAAATGCTTCTCCCCACACTGTCCTCTGTTCCCTTGAGATTAACATGCTCAAATGCTCAGGGGGAAGAAGTGGATCCTTCTCCCTCTAAAAGACTTCGCTTGTCCTGGAACATGGCAGCCAGGGCAGCAGACGAAAGCAGCCTTCCCTTCTGCTGTTCAGTCACCTCTTTTTTAGCAGAATACAAAGTGTATCCCGTTAACTGTGAAAAAACAAGCAGTTATGTCACATTCAACTGTGTCTGTCACTTGGTAAAATATTGTTGAAAGTCGATTTCCGTGCTGGAAAAGCCTTTTCAATCCAGTAGCACTGGATTTCTATACACTAGGTTAAAGCTGTAAGGTGCTGAATGTGAAATATTTTACAGAGTAGATAACTGGCTGTTTCACTTCATATTAGAAATATTCAAGGTAAGTGACTGATGACAGAATAGAGGACCCAAAAATTCAGAAATAACTTTTCCAAACTATCTCTAAAATAAAAAATCACAACTAAAAGCACAGAATAAAAAACCCTAATCAATTCTAGCAGGAAGAGGTTGAGACAATTAGCTATTTTATGTAGAGCTAATAAGTTTTTAAAATGGAATTTTT